CCACCCAAATTCTTAAACATTTTTGTCATGGTTTAATTTTTGTTGGGGAGAATAAGGGAAGTTGGATTATTTTACATCTTGATTTATTCCCAATTAATTTTGAATGTGTAAATGGCCCATATTTGGTATTACATAGTAGTCAGTAATCAGGATGAGATGGTCCAAATCTGTTCCTGAGTGTACCATTCTCATGCTACATTGCTTATCTAATTTATGTCTTTAAAGTGAAAAAATTAATTCCTATCCTAAAGTAGTACTGGAAAATCATAGAGTAATATTTATTCATCTAGGAAAAAACATCATATTACTACATTACTACAAATAACACCATGCTCATGGAATACAAACTTCTTTCTTAATCTACTTTAAAATAAAATCTGTCCCATATCCATTCCTTTGCAACCAATAAATATAAATTGGATTCAGAGAACAGTAGCAAGTCAATTCTCCTCTCTATTGTCATGAAGAAGAGATATAATCTATTTGTCACTACAATGTGATTTATAATGGCTTAATTCATAAAACATACCCAGAATATATTTATTCATTCAATATTTATTGATAGCATTCTAGATAACAAGGCTAGTTCTAGGGCACAGGTATACAGAAGTTGGAGTAAGAGTTATCTAGAAAAAGAAGCACAATATGGGTCTTTAAGATGAAGGAAGCATGTACAAAGAACTGAAGATATGGCAAAACAAAAGAAATTTGTTCTTCATATTACAGTGGTAGGGCGTAATGAAGGGCACCACAGGAGATTAGGATAGAATTGGAAAATACCCCATTATGAGGGTTTTTGACAGACATATGCCTTTGAATTTTATTTTAAAGGAAAGTTGATAGGTAGCATGGCTAGGTGCCTGATTTTAGAAGAGTCTTACTGAAGACATTATGAAGGATGGGACTTGATTACTATAGTATACTATAAGAGAAATAAATACCTGTGTCCAGTGATCTGGACACAGAGAGTGAGGAAGAGTTAGTGGGAAGAGTTGGGGACCTTTGAGATGAAAGTAGGACTGCAAAGAAATGATCTTGGATGATTAACTCATGTCTTGCTCGGGTGATTGTGAGAGATCCTGGTGTCATTCATAGTAATACAGAAGATAACAATAAGAGCAATAGGGATAGGAAGTGTTGCACATGAACATTTTTTGTTTGTAGGATTCTTCTGGAATGTCTGATGACTCCTAGGTAACTGTGAATATAGTACAGGAATTCAGAAGAGAGATCAAAGATAGAAATATGGATTTTGGAATCTTTGATGTGTGATAATATCCAGAAAGATTGTATAGAGAGAAAAATAACAGAAAAAAGTCTCTAAACAGCAGGAACTATGAAGCAATACCCGGAGGAAGATCTTAAAGTATAAACCGAGGAATAACTGGAGAGGAAGGAGGGAAGTAATAACTGCCCATCAAAATTAAGTGAAGAGGGCTGGGAAGGTGGCTCCGTGGCAGAGCGCTTGCCTCACATGCATGAGGCCCTGGGTTCGATTCCTCAGCACCACATAAGCAGAAAAAGTCAGAAGTGGTGCTGTGGCTGAAGTGGTAGGGCGCTAGCCTTGAGCCTTGAGAGCTGAGGGACAGCGCCCAGGCCCAGAGTTCAGGCCCCATGACGGACAAAAAAAAATGAAGTGAAGAGATCTTTAAAAATCTAAAAAGAAGTATTACACAAATGCTGTATCTTATGATATTCTCTTTAATTATGTTCAACAACAGGATGACACAATGAAGATTAAACTTAGCTGAGAACTAGAAGAAGGAATGTCAGGAATGCACCCCAGAATTTTTACAAGCTATTAGGTAGGATGTGATCCCCAATAGAATATTCTGTTTTTATGGTACTAGAAATATGTGATAACAACCTGGCATTGATGGTTCACTGGTAATCCTGGCTACTCAGGAGGCTGAGACTTGGAGGATCACTGTGTGAACCTAGCCAGTCCCAGGGAGAAAAGTTTGAGACTCCATCTTCAATTAATCAGCAAAAAAATGCTAGACTGTAGGTTTGATTCAAGTAGTAGAGCACCAGCTGTGAATAAGCATGTGAAATGAGACCTTGAGGACCTGAGTTCAAGCTTTTTTACCAGAAGAAAAGCAAAAACAAAAGAGAGAGAGAGAGGAAGGAAGGAAGGAAGGAAGAAAGGAAAAAAAGAAAAGAAAAAGAAAGAGAAAGAAACTACAATATCCTCTTGAATGACAAAATAGCAGTTTTTTCTAGTGATTTAAACCTCTTTATATTACTCTCTAACATCCTTTAATATCACATTCTTATTTATTCAAGATATAATTGTTATTTTTATGTTTATATCAACAGATCACAGAAGTTCTCTGTTTTAACTCAGTCAGACAGAACTCAAGGAAACAATCCCTTTTCTTTCCTTTCAGAGTCATATGAAAGTATAGCCAAATTAGTGGAGATGTCACTAAATTTGAAAATAATTTGCTGCCTTATTATTTGAGGCATGGTTGGCTATATCAAAGGCAACAGTTCATCACATAGCTAAGAAGAGCTCTTACATCTTGTTAGTCAATTTCTTCCATTTGTAAGTCATCCTGAGATGTCATTATCTTAGCATAAAGTAGTTACTGGTATCTAAGCATAGCCAAAATGGATCAATTACCTTTCCAGTTGAGAAGCTTGAATATATTGAATTTATCTCTGTACTATGTCTGCTTTTGTCCTGAAGAAGAGAAGCAATAAACTCAGATATTCAACAAGTGAAAACCTTTTGTCTTTGTTCTACTACCCACTCATTTTCTTATTATCTAAAAGTACAGGAGCTTAAATCAAGAAATCTGTGTTTGTTTGAGTTCTAAGGAAAAGCCCTAACAATGTTATTAGATAACTGTGATGAATTTTAATCCGATAACAGCTTGTGACCTACAAATTACTGCTTAAAATTAAAATGCATCCAAAATGAAACTGGCAAGACAACTACAATGTTAAACTGGCAATCTGCTGTGATAAAACACCTTTCTAAAGCAGTGTATTAAATATGAGTACAATTAAATTCTACACAGTATCTTGCAATTAAAATCTGAGAAATACATGCCTTATTAATTTCAAATTGGTTGCTAATCTTATTTTTACCTTTTGTTTTTTAGCAAACTAAGAAATCAAAATAGAGATGAATTTGCTTGGCTTGTTGGCTGTGGTAGTATACCCATTGGCAGAGTTCCAGATATAATCTAGGGCTACAGGCTTCCAGGGTTCTCATTTGATGAACAATAGTCTGTTTTCTTCATCCCAAATATTCATCTACAATAAATAAAAATTTTTTCTATGTACATAATCTTGGGTTTATTTATAACTTTTAAGTTATAATTACTCAAGATTTATTAACTGGGATCTTCTTTAAAAAAACTTGTACATTGGCTTCAGAAAAACACTGATATGTTTTCTCAGCTAATTCATTACTAAGCTTGAAAGAAATTTAGACTTTTTTGGTAATAGATATTTTGTATCAGTACTACTATTAAATGATGATGGAACTCAGACTAACCCAATGTGTATGTTTTCATCCCATATTTTTCGTAGTAAAGGACTGTCTGTGGTAAAACAAAAGAGAATTCCCTATAGTTGTTTGCAAATAACTTAATGGCCAAGTTACAGCTCTTTTCCTAATTTTTCAAAAGATACCAAGAATCACTGCAAACCTCACAATATAACATTATAATTATAATAATTAGCAGTGTACTTAATTATAGTTTCAATGCTCCTATACATTACTTAAGAAATTCACAGTACATTGAAATAGCAATAGCTATTATATATAAGGGAAGTTCACTTGCATTATTACATATGGAAAAAAAAACCCTTACCCACTCTTTTTAAGAGGTATCACAAAGATTGTGGTTTCACAACCACTATTTTGGCTTCTTACCCCTAGCCCATAGTATACCCTCAGTAAATGTGAGTTGGAAGAATAAATCAATTCATGTGATTGAGAAACAAACTCAAGGAAAATAAATGCCTTGTCTTTGCTTGCTACAGGACTACAGCACGGAAAACGGCTGTCGCAGTTCCAAAAACCTCTCTGCCATGTTTTAGTTTGGTTGGTGTGTGTGTGTGTGTGTGTGTGTGTGTGTGTAAAACTCATAAAGGCTGCAGCCTCTATATTGCACAGAGGTTCTGTATTTAAAGAAAAAGCAGTCTGTTGTCACAATAAATATGGAATTCCAAGGACTTCCAAAGCTTTGTTTGTGTTAGAGACTTGATATGAATTCTAGTATCAGGTCTATTTATATTTGGGCATAATGTCTCTGTCACTATTGGTTAGACTTCATCAAAACTGCCCCTGGAATAGTGAGTTCCCCCAGGCTGGCTGTTAGCTTTCAAACTGTAGTTGGGGTTCTGTTTGGGGCTGGAGGACGCTGGCCATGGTGCTGAAAGAGAAAAGAAGCTCCTGTTCTAAACCTTTCCTTTCCTCTTATTGGTTAAGAAAATTCGAGTGACAAGAGCAGGGGCCAAAGGAGCCTGGAGCAGCATCGTTCATGTGAACCGTGTCTATTTAGACCTTTGGAGCGACGCTGTGGTCCATCAGATTACAGCCCAGGCACCTCTGTGAGCGCTCGCTAAACCCACAGATCATCTGAATGTAGCAGCTGCAGTAGAAAACCTACCATCCAGCAGGATGCCTTGTCTCTCTCCTGCCAAAAAAAAAATGGGCAATCAAGTGCACAAGCCTACGAACAGAAGCAGGAAGTCAGGAAGGAAAGAGAAGGCGAAGCAAACCTGGATTCAGATAGAAAAACGTTCACGTTTATGCATGCAAGGTTAAAAAAATGCATACCAGAATAATAGCTAATTTTAGCTTAAGTTTTCCTCTCAGTCTTCCAACAGGTGTATTCTCTCGCCCTCCTCCCCCACCCCTTCGCCTGACAGCTCCCGTCCTGCTGTCTTGCTCAGCGAGGCAAGCTCTTCCTGGAGTCCTGAAGCATGTGCAGTTTCCCATCTCATCCACAGCTCCAGCTCTGCGCCCCGCAACCCCTTACCTGCAGCGTGAAGATGAAGAAGCAGGCACAGCCCAGGCAAGCTGACTGCCCTCCGCATAGTGCTTGCATGGAGAGGTGGAGCAGAAACTCCGCCGCGACCCCACTTCAAGCAAAGTGCTTTTCGAAAGAGCCTCGGCCACAAGTCCTCGATCCCCTGGATTCCTTCGCAGGGTCTCTCCTCGTTTGGGGTTTGCAGAGTCTTCTCTTCCGTGGCGCCGACAGAAACCAGCACCAGCTTCACCTCCCTAGGAGATGGGGTAGAAGGAAGGAGAGTAGGAGGCGGCGGCGGTGGAAGGGGGGTGAGGCGCTCGGAGATCTCGAGGCGAGTGCTCTGGCCTTCTGCAGAGCCCGCAGTCCAGGCAGCGACGGTGGAAGTGCACTCCCGCGCCAGCCCAGGATCCCAGCAGCGCGGCCCCCAGTGCAGAGCCAGCAGCCAGCTCAGACGCGCTGCGGCTACTGAGCATGCCCAGCACCGGCTCTAGCTTTGCACAGGAGTTTCAAATTCCACGTCTCCGGGTCTTAGCTGCAGCTGTCAAGGGAGCAGCCTCCCCGACGGGGGTTCGCTTGGGGCAGAAATTAAGGTCCCACAGTCCTTATAAAAAACAAAAATCCCTGGTGTGGTGGAGTAGAGAGGGATGAGATGGGGCATGCCCAGAGGTGGGAGAGGAAGGAAGTGTTGAGACGTGACCCACCCCGTCCCCCCCCTCCCCAATCTTGGCTTACATGTGGATTTATCCCACTGATGAGGATAGGTATTTGGAGATTGGCCAGCATATCCCAGATCTGGGGCTGAGTTCTCACCTACAGCCTCCACGGTGTGGGCTGTGTGTCCTTCCTTCCCTCCCTCCCTCCCTCCCTCCCTCCTTCCCTCCCTCCCTCTCTCCCTCCCTCCCTCCCCATCTCTCTCCCTCTCTCTTTCCCTCCCCATCTTTCTCTCTCTCTCCCTCCCTCCCTCCCTCCCTCTCTCTCTCTCTCTCTCTCTCTCTCTCTCTCTCTCTCTCTCTCTCTCTCTCTCTCTGTCGTGTGTGTGCTGGTCCCAGGGCTTGAACTCAGGACTAGGTTAAGGTCCCTCAGCTCTTTTACCTCAAGGCTAGCACAGTTCTACTTCTGGCTTTTTGGGTGCTTAATTGGAGATAAAAGGTCTCATAGGCTTTCCTGCCTGGGCCGGCTTCGAAGAAGGCTCCTCAGATCTCTGAGTAGCTAGGATTATAGGCATGAGCCACCATTACCCGGCCGTGTGCATCCTCTCTAAAGGTTTCCCTCTCTATCTTTGCTCTCCACCCCATTCCTTGAGTTTTCACTTTATCTAGGTTCAATTCCAAAGTCTTTGACTATGGAGACAGAAAGCAGGAGGTCATATTTAGAGGCTAGTGGAATCTGTCCTTGTGATCGAAGCAACAAAAGACAACGTTCAGTTTTAAGGGAATAGTTAGCCTTAGTTGCCATTTTACTTTTCAAGAGAATGGAATCATTTCCTGTGCTAGGCTTCTTCTGTGTCTTTAGGAAGGCAACTTGCCATACATAGTCCATATAATATGGATGCAGTCTCCACTCCTAAGTCACTGAGGCAGGGAGATTCTGCTCTCCCTTACCTACCCCCCAACCTTCCACCTGTTGACTTCTGTATCTTTTCTAATTTCCTTTTTTTGCATCACCAATACACAGGTCTAACCTTAGTTAGACGTTAGATTCCTGTTTCCAGGAAGCCTCGGGCTAGCTCAAGATTGTTCTGATCTTTCCCCTGCACATTTGTTTTGCATCACATGAATTTTTCTTTAAGGTAGTTCATTTATCTGTGGTATGTGGTATAACTATGGCAGGCTCCCTAAGAACTTCTGCCTTTTGCATTAACTTAAGTGGAATCAAGTTGCTATCTAGACAAATAAGAGGGACTTATAAGTGCTTTGGGAATCGGGCTTCATTCTTTATTCACTGCTTTTTCTTCTTTCATGCTCTGAGAATGGAGTAGGAAACAGGGTGCCCACCAGAGCTTAAATTAGTATCTCCTAGACCTTCAAGCTTAAACAGTATCATTTATCTCTTTCATAATTCTTTTCCTCTCCAGTTCTCAGGACAAGGCCAGGAAATCCATCCTAACTGATGAGAGAAGGGGAGAATGAGATGCATGTTTTTAATACTGTGATGCTTGTTGATTCCCCAAAATAGAGTGTTAGTCTCACCCATGGCTGCGCTCCCCACCCTGATGGGAATGGCAGGCTCCATTTCAGCGGCCCAACTGTTTCATCCAACCTACCTTAAGGTGTAAACCTTTCCCTTACTCCAGATCCACTTTTCTCTAATTACCTTTTCCAACTTCACCTCTTAAAGAATTAATTGTTCAATACATTTATTGTCTGTTTTCCTAAAATGTACAATATAATCTGACCTTCACAGTGAGACAATTTTTTTTTTTGTTCTTGGCAGTACTAAAGTTTGAACTCAGGATTTTGCATTTGTTTGGCTTACAGACAAATGTTTCAAATGAATTCAAACCCTCTCATTTGATTAGCTGGCCCTCTACAACTTGAACCATACCACTACCCTGGCTTTTTGCTGGTTATTTTGGAACATGGGATTCCTGCCAATGCTGGCTTTGAATCATGATCCTCTGCCTCTCAAACTCTGAGTAGCTAGGATTCTAGGCATGAGCCACAGGTGCCTGGCTGTACAATGGCAGGCACTTTTGACCACTTTATTCACTAATGTATCCCAAATGTTTAGAATAGATAAGGCCTCACAGACCTATCTGCTTAAACATGAGAAAATGGAAAGCAACTGGTTGATAAACTTTAGTTGTGGCAATTAACCTGGCTTTTTGGAATTCTCACTAACTAGTATTTGAGATAAGTTTTTTAGCTGTCACTTAGAAGTGTAACCTCTTTCTTTAAAAATTTAACATTTGGTGCATTCCAGTAATAAGGTGGGTTTCTCTGATATTCTTCCTCACTAAATAATTAATTTCCAAACTTAACATAGTCTCCAAGAAGAAAGTGCACTTACGGTAATGAAACAAAGTTGTAGCAATGCTCACAGCCCTTTGCCTTCCCACAGACAATTCTAACATGTATTCTAAGGGATTTAAAATTTCAATTAATGTAACTGGTTATGACTTTGCCAACAAGTAGCCTGCTAACTATGTATTTTGCCTGCAGCTACAGGTAGCTGAATTATTAAACTGTGCATGAAAATCTCTTTAGCAGCACAAATTTCCAATCTGACTATATATACCAACTACTAGACTAGTTCAGAATGGTAAAAATAACCTTGAACCAACTATCATATTGGTGCCAGGACATTCCTTATTCATTTTCTTGACAAAGATGAAGGAGCAGGAAGACATTTATATTCCCAGATGCATTGATCTAATGTCATACTGATGGACTTGATCATGTAAATGTCAAGGCAAAGAGCAACAAGAGGGGGAAGGGGAGTCGTGGGGGGAGGGAAAGTGGGAGAAAACAAGGGAGGGTGACAATGTTGGACAAGAAATTACCTTACTTATGTAACTATAACCCCTCTGACATCACCCTTAGAATAAAATTAAATTAACTGAAATTAAAAGAGCAGTAAGATAAACTGGCGAGGTGGCAAAAAGTCAACTCCTTATCTCAGAAATATTCCATAGGTCCAGAGGAGCTGCCTTTTCTTGCTTAGGCTTTAATGCTGTTGCAAGTGATTTGGTGTTTTAAAGAAGGGGCCAGGTTAAAACATTGCCCCGATATTTTAGATAACTAGTTCCAATTTCGAGAATCACAGAAATTAGTGTGCAGAACCATGCAAATTAGTACTGTCCTACACAACTATGCCCTAAAGGAAATCATTTACAATTTAAAGATAAGTAGAAAATTAATATCATCTGGTCTTTTTCTTTCCAAAGGATGAATAATGTCTTCCTTATAAGCTAAGGTCCAGGGAGAATTTACATTGGAGAAAAAGTTCTTGGAGTCTGTCATTAGAACAAATTTAACCATTATCTCCATATTAACTTGTCTAGAAATGGTTGAAAATCATTCATTTAGACTATCCTTCCTTAGGATACTTTAAATCAATGAATCAAAGGTGTTTATAGAATTTCCTATTAAGTTACTTAGCTTTTGGGAAATTTAAATATAATGGTGGTGACACCATTGAGTATTTCTTCCATCCAGACTCTGTTGTAAGCAAACAGCTGTCTTCTTTACACGTTGTAGATTTCTTTTTGCCAGAAAGCACTGCTCTAGCCTCTTGTTAGAGATGAGACAATTCAATCAAATAGGAAATTGATCATGTTAGAATGCAAATCCTGATACTGAGATGGTAAACTGCTGTGACAAATGACCTCTCGTGTAATAAACACATACCCAGGCACATGTGTAGGGTTAGTTGTAGGCAGCTAACTAGACTCCGTGTGTGTGTGTGTGTGTGTGTGTGTGTGTGTGTGTGTGTGTGTGTGTGTGTGTGTATCAAGGTCAGGGAGAGGGGAGATGCTGATCTTGGGATTTTTTTGTGGGGGGTATCCGGTCATGTGGCCTGAACTCTGGGCCTGGGCACTGTCCCTCAGCTCTTCAGCTCAAGGCTAGCGCTCTACCACTTGAGCCACAGGGCCACTTCCGGCTTTTTTCTTTTTGCTTATGTTGTGCTGAGGAATCGAACCCAGAGCTTCAGGCATGCAAGGCAAGCGCTCTACCACTGAACCACCTTCCCAGCCCCACCTTGGGCTTATAGTAAAACTCTGATTTAAGAACCATCCATAGGAGATTGTCTCTAGGGAAGAGGGCAGCATTACTGAGACAGTAGACTTGTGTATCTAATGGATAGAAGCCACTCATAGAAGAACATATTAGCAGGATATTGAAGGTAGAACAGAGGAAATGACTTCTTCTATGGAAAGTGGGTGCAAAGGTAGGGGTGGATAGCAGGCAAGCAACTGTGAGTGAAGAACAGGAAATGAATTGAGTCTAGCTAGATCAGGAGATATTAGCTGCTCTGCATGAAGAGAAAGCAAGTGGAGGAGACATGAGTTAGTAACAGGCATTTAAGGAAGTTCTGAGCATGTATGGTAACATGTAGCTGTGGCTGGCACCTCATTTGTAGATATTAATTGCTTACAGAGGCCAGCAAATTACTGAGATTTGTAATGGGATTGTCCTGCTCCACTATTCATAGAGCTTATTTAAGAATCCCAACATCTATTTTCTTTTAGAATTGACAAAAACTAA